CAGATGATGCAGAGCTAACTCACTCTGCTTTCATTGTACTGCTTAACTTCTTCATAAAAAAAACACTGAAATCTAGGTATCCAGTAATCTTCAGGTTTTTTCCATCTTTTTCTGTGATGTATAACTCTACAATGAAATCTTTTTGAGATTTTGTAAGTATGCATCCTAGAAGTGGAATTGCTAGTTCATTTGGCATATGTATTCAAAACACTGATGCTCATAGTTATTGCCAAAATGTCACCCACATGGTTATACCAAACCCACCACTCCTCTAATTCTACAAAATACATTTTACCACACTCTGAACAACCAGGGCTTCATAAACTTGTGTGTATCTGATATCTGATTGCGTTCCCAAGTGGCTCAGTGATAAAGGATCTGCCTTTCAATGCAGAAGATACAGGAGACATAGGTTTGATTCTTGGGCTGGGGAGATCCCCTGGAGGAGGAAATGGCAACCCACTCCAGTACTCTAGCCTGGAAAAATACCAGGAACAGAGGAGCCTGGCGGGCTGCAATCCATGGGGTTGCAAAGAGTAGGACATGACTGAGCATACATGCAAACACTCACATCTGATTAAAGGAGTTGTTTCACTTGTATACTTTAATCATAAATTTGTAAATATAATTTTACATAAATTTACAAATCATAAATTTGTAAATATATATTTGTAAATATAATTGAATTTTGGCATCTCTTTAACTGTTTAAAGTTATTTCTTTTTTCATCAATTGCTTATTAATGAATATTATATATTTTATTTGACTGCTGATATTTTCCATACTGATTTTTACAATTTAATTATATATTAAAGAAATTATATATTTTACCATGTAGTTGTAATTATTGCATTTCTATCTTGTGATTATTCTTGATGCATTTATACTGTGCAGGATATTTTGGTCCTCTAGAAATATTTTCACATTTGCATAGTCAAATCTATCAATATTTTCTTTGGATTTTATGCATTGCTTAGAAATAGTGTTCCTGTTTCAATGTTACCAAAATATTGTTCCACAGTTTTCAACACAATTTGTGGTCTTTTTGTTGTTCTATGTTTTTCATTTCAATTTTTGAACCATCTACACATTAATTTTATATAAGGAGTTAAATAGTGACCAAATTTTAATTATTTTTGAGGATGGCTAAATTTATCAATGCATAAGTATTTTCCCCATGTCTTTGATATCCCAACTTTACAGTCTAAAATTGAATATGTGTTTGGATCCAATTCAACTTACTATTATTATCCATTAATCTCTTTATTCATGTGCTATTTAACATGATGTAATTGATTTGATTTAAAATATACTTTGATACCAAATTAGCTTAAGACTTCTCATTGCTATTTTTTAACAAAACTATGTCTACTCTTGCATGTTTATATTTTAAAATTGAATTTCAATAAGCCAATCTAAGGAAAACTAAATTTAGTTAGTGTTTTCTATGAGAATTGCTTTACAAATTTTTTTTTTATCTTTGAAGAATTGAGAATTCTTACTTATGTACTGGATCTGTCTTTTCGCTTAAGTCTTCTTTTATGTTCATATAGATCTAGTTTGTTTCATTGTAAATGTAGTCATTTTTATTTTTAGATGATATTATAAATAGTATCGACTTTAATTATGCTAAGTGTCTGTTATTTCAATATAGGGCATATTTTTGTTTTTCATCTTTACATAGTACATATTTTTCACAGTACATCATTCATAATTTTAGTCTACATCCTGAAGGTTTTAACAAAATACAGACAGTTGTGTAATCACCATCATTTATCAATATGCAGAATCTTTCATCATCATGAATATACCCTACATTCATGGACATGACACATTGCCTTCTGTGGCTGTCACCAAATCATTGGTGAGTGGAGCAGTGTCCTAGACAATCTATCTGGGCCTAGGGGTCCTCATCTGGTTTTGGCCCACAGATGGACAGAGAGGAGCCCACATTGTCCCAGGTTGGTACCCTGGTGGATGAGGATGGTCCTGGTGCTCGCTAACTGGTGTCTGTTCTTGGGTCTCATCTCAGCTAGGGGTTCAAGGAGTCCTCTGATAGCCAGCCTGTTGCCTCATGGCTATGTTCTTGCCCAGCTGGCTGCTTGGCCTGGAGCTTCCTAAGGTTTGTTTTGCCTGACTGCTGGCTGGGCCTGGCGTCCACCACTAAAAAGACAGAGGGAGGCTCTCCATATGGTGTTTACCATTAGCAGTGTTCTTTTGATGGGCTACCTCTCCCAAATTGGTGCTGCCAACATCTATACCCCCAATATGAATCCCAAATTCCTCTTAGCCCTCTGGGAAGGTCTTCAAGTACATCTGACTCAGTCTCCATTCAAAATAGCTATTTCTGAAAGAGGTCTCGTCTCTGTGTGACCTTTAAATCTGGAGTCTCTATTTCCCAAGGCCTCTGGTTCTCACCAAAGTTAACCCCACTGGCTTTCAATGTCAAATGTTTTGAGCTCATCTTCCTAGTGCAGGACCTCTGGTATGAGTAGCTTAATATGGGGCTCAGACCCCTTTGATCCTTTGGGGAGCCTCTTCAACTGGATTATACTCTCATTTTTGTATTGCCTACCCAAGATATGGGAATTGCCTATACACTATATTTGCCACTCCTACCTAACCTGCAATGACCCTTTTATATCTTTATTAATAGTGGAAATTTTCTGCCACTCATCAGGTCATTCTCAAAAATGGTCACTCTGTAAATAGTCGGAATTTCAATGTTCCCATGGGAGGACATGAATCCAGGGTCTTTCTATTGTACCACCTTTGCTACTCCACCCTAAATATCTGTCTTTTGTTTAGTAGTATCTTTGTATAGGGGCTCCCCTGGTGGCTCAGATGGTAAAGAATCTGCTTGCAATGCGGGAGACCTGGGTTCGATCCTTAGTGTGGGAAGATCCCCTGGAGGAGGGCATGCCAACCCACTCCAGTATTCTTGCCAGAGAATCCCCATGGAAAGAGGAGTCCATTGGGTCACAAAGAAGCCGGACACAACTGCACAGCATGCATCTTTACATACAGATGTACTTTTAAAATTTAATGGAAAGTCCCAGTGAATTTAATTAAAAAATAATCAATATTGGATACATTCCAGTTCTAAGACATTATGTTAAATGTGGTTAGAAGGGATAAAAGTGATCTTTGTCTCTTTTGGGAAAATAGATGATGTTCTTTCAGGACTGATGTAAAAGTTTCAGGAGGTCCTTTTTTAGGCTTAAAACATTGCACTAAAATATATGGAGGACAGCAGAAGAATTTTTTCTCAAAATCTTAAGTCAACTAGTTTGGCTGTACCAGTGTGACAGAGTGAGAAGTGTTAAGCAATTCACTGAAATTTTTCTATCTTGAAATTAAGAAAAAATTTATTAGAAATAAATTTTCCTGGGAACACCTTGCTGTTCTTTCTATATAAACCTAGAATTTGCATAGCTTTCTGACAAATTATCTTAACATGGTAAACTTTTATTTTTTGGGTACTGTGGAATTTCTTTTAAACAATCTAAAGTGCAAATAAAAACGTTCTTCTGAATAAATGGAAGAATCCATGGAAGAAATGGACAGACAGCTGAATGAAATCAAACATATCCTCAGGTAATATTGCAACCTTTGCCTCTTTTGTCATATTGGATTAAAGAAAAAGATCAAGGTCTTTAGGAATGATTTAAAAACTTTTCCTTCTGGTTTTCAATACTCTTCAGCAAGGTAAGAATACCAGTAAGTGTTGGGAAACATGATTCACAATTATGGACTTTATTATGCAAGAATTTAAGCTGTTTTGAAACATATCAGACTCAGTTTCCAATTCTTGATTTATCACATAGAAATGTGTACCCTTAGGAAAATTAAAGGAGTATTCTTAGCCTTAGATTCATCAACTGGGAAAATTTGATTATGAATTTGTTACTGTAAGTATTAATTGTTCTACATAAATTTAATAGAATAAGAATTTTGAGCAGTTGAGTGATGTAACTGGAACAAGATTTAAAGAATATAATTTGAGTTGCTTCAAGAAAACAGATTGGTGGACAACCCTCCCTATCACCCTTCCCCTGCAAAAAAAAATGGAAAAAAGTGGCAGGAGGTTACTGTTCTGGACCAGGAAAAATGAGGGGAAGGGAATGATCATGTATGTGATATATTTTGAAAGTATAATCAACTATATTTGATATAGTTATCAGTAAATAATATGAGAGCAAAAGAGAATGATAACACTGTGCAAAGCTTTGCCTGAACAATCACACTGAAGGGTGATCACTTTTAGCAAGATGGGGGACATCTTTTATATTGTAGAAAATTTTGTGTTATATGTACTAAATTGATGTCTAACCACAAATATTCAAAATTGGAAGTGCTGCTTATGTTAAAATGAGGATAGAGATAGGGGCTGGAGACACAAAATTGGACTGCCTCAGTATTCATTGTTTAGGAGGAATATCTAGCTAGAAACTCTAAGAAAGAAGTCTCAGGTAGTTTTGAGACAATTCTAGACAGTGACTTTATATTCATAGTTGATCAACTCACAAGAAATATGTTAGCTTAAGTGGGTTTCTAGTGTTATACTTTTGTGTCTTTATAAATGATATACTTTTCCTGGAATTCCTTTCCCATCTCTTTTCATTATTTTACTTTCCCTTTAAACCCCAGCTAAGTCACTGCTTCTTCTGGGAAGACATCGCTGATTCTAGTCTGATTGATGTATTTCTACTCTGTGATACTTAGCATTATGAGAGTATCTTCATCATGGCACCTATTATGTGTGTCTGCAATTTTCTGATTCCTCATTCTAAGTCACATCACTGAGTCTAAGAAACTATGAGTGATTCAACCTGGGCATCACAATGTCTATGATCCACTGGACACAAGCAGATTCTGTGAACACATTTTTAATTGAAAGGATAAATAGAAGACAGGATTTTAGTACATTTAAAACCTTCCCCCTTTGTTTTGTAGGTAAACTGCTTCTAATACTTGAAGTCAGCTCCTGTCCAGAATAGATGGGACCAAGAAGTAATGTAACTTACTTTGTCCTCCTGGGCCTCACACAGAATCCAAAAGAGCAAAAAATTCGTTTTGTTATGTTCTTGCTTTTCTACATTTTGACAGTGGTGGGCAACCTGCTCATTATTGTGACAATAACTGTCAGTAAGACCCTGAACTCACCGCTGTATTTTTTTCTTGCCAGCTTATCATTTATGGATGCTGCTTATTCTTCTTCTATAACCCCCAGACTGATTTCAGACTTGCTCTTTGGGGTAAATATCATAACTTTTGAATCTTGTATGACTCAAATGTTTATAGATCATTTTTTTGGTGGATCCGAGGTCTTCCTTCTGCTGGTGATGGCCTATGACCGCTATGTGGCCATCTGTAAGCCCTTGCATTATTTGGTGATCATGAGGCAAAGGGTGTGTGTTGTGCTACTGGCGGTGTCCTGGGTTGGAGGTTTTTTGCACTCAATAATTCAACTTAGCACTGTTTATGGGCTCCCATTCTGTGGCCCCAATGTAATTGATCACTTTACATGTGACATGTACCCCTTATTGAAACTCGTCTGTACTGACACTTATGTCATTGGCATCTTAGTGCTGGCCAATGGAGGACTGATCTGCTTTATCATCTTTCTGCTCTTACTCATCTCCTATGGAGTCATCCTACACTCTCTGAAGAACCTGAGTCAGGAAGGGAGACAGAAAGCCCTTCAGACCTGTGGTTCCCACATCACTGTCGTTGTCTGCTTCTTTGTTCCCTGTATTTTCACATATTTAAGACCAGCTACAACCTTCCCAATTGACAAATCATTGAGTGTGTTTTATACAGTCATAACCCCCATGCTGAACCCATTAATCTACAGTCTAAGAAATTATGAGATGACTAATGCTATGAAGAAACTCTGGAGAAAAAAAGCAGATCAAATCAAATTAGTTCATTACCCATAATGATTTCAGTAACTTAGTAAGAGGACCAATCTTCCAGAAAATCAAAGTCTTCATAAATCTGATTAAATTTTTCCTCCTCTCACAAGGAATTAAGTTAATTATAAATAAGGAATGAACTATACATTCATGCTTTCATTGACAATTTCTTTGCTCATATGTAAACTGTGTAACACCTTGTGTACCACTGTGTTTAAATAGGTGGGTCATTTACAATAGAAAGTTGTTTCCATTTACAATAGAGAACAGTTAAAATTATGTAGCAAATGAGTTAATTAAATTTTTATGGGGTTATTCTAATTTTAAATTGATTTCAAATTTTGCTTTTATTGCTTTCTCATTGTTAGTTTTATGTCACATCAGAATTTTGTATATTATCTTTATTGTACTTGTTAAAATATTTAATTCTGTATAGATCATCATCTATTCAATTTCATTTAGTTTACACATATAACTAAAGATGATAATTTAAGTTTTAAATAACTTAAATAAGATGAGTATTTTAAGAAGTATTAAAAATAGAAGCCAAGCAAACTGTAATAGTGTAGAATATACCTCTTACCAATTCCACATCCAGTCTCTCATTCCCCCCAGTTTCAGTCACTGTACACTGTTTCTGAGATTCTTCAAATAATAATTTTGCAAATAAATGTATATTTTCATATATGAATGTGTTCACTTAGCTCTATAATTTTTTTATTTATCTTCTCAGCCTCTGGAATATATTCTATGTAGACATGCCAGTCTATATAGATCTAAGTCATTCTAGTTTCACAATCCTGCTTAACTTCTTTTTACTGGATCGTGTCTGACTCTTTGTGATCCTCTGGACTATATGGTTCATGAAATTCTCTGAGCCAGAATACTGGGCTGGGTAGCCATTCCCTTCTCCAGGGGATCTTCCCAACCCAGGGACTGAACCCAGGTCTCCCACATTGCAGGCAAATTCTTTACCACCTAAGCCACCAGGGAAGTCCAACTTCTTTTTAAAGAAACACTAAAATTTAGGTATTAAGTCCTTTTCAGGTTTTGCAATACAGCTTTTTTGATATTTTGTAAATATGAATCCTACAAGTGGAATTGTTTATTTAACTGGTATACATGTCTGCAATATTTATGTTCCTGCATGCAGGATAAGTTGGTTCAGTCATTTCTGACTCTTTGATACTCTAAGGACTGTAGTCCTCCAGGCTCCACTATACATGGGCCTGGAGGAGCAAGACAAGCAAGAATACAGAGTGGGTGGCCACTCACTTCTCCAGGGTATCTTCCTGACCAAGGGGTGGAACCTGTGTCTCTTATGTCTCCAGCATTGGCAGGCAGGTTCTTTACCACTAGCACCATCATTTATGTTGGTAGTTACTGCTAAAATGCTATCCATGAACTTCTATCACACTCATTGCTCCTCTAATTTTGAAAAATTGTTTGACCACATTCTTAAAAAACACTGCTTAGAAAACATTTGTGGTATTTGAAAATCAGATTAAATAAATTGTGTTTCATTTACATATTTTAGTTATAAAAATATATGTAATTGAATTTGGACATCTATTCACATGTTTAAAGTGGTTTGTATTCACTTTCATGTACAGCTTATTAATGAATATCACATTTTATTTCCATTGCTGATATTTTCCAAATTGACCTTAATGATTTAATTACATACTAAGGAAATTAACAACAACGGACTGGTTCCAAATCAAGACAGGAATATATCAAGGGTGTATATTGTCACCGCTTATTTAAATTTTATGAAAAGTAAATCAACCAAAATATCAGGCTGGATGAAGCACAAGCTGGAATCAAGATTGCCCGGAGAAATATCAATAACCTCAGACATGCAGATGACACTACCCTTATGGCAGAAAGTGAAGAAAAACTAAAGAGCCTCTTGAAGAAAGTGAAAGAGGAGTGAAAATGTTGGCTTAAAACTCAGCATTCAAAAATCTAAGATCATGGAAACTGGACCCATCACTTCATGGCAAGTAAATGGACAAACAGTGGAAACAGTGAGAGACTTTATTTTCTAGGGCTCCAGAATCACTGCAGATGGTGACTGCAGCCATGAAATTAAAAGACACTTGCTCTTTGAAAGAAAAGCTATGACCAACCTAGACAGAAATTAAAAATCAGAGACATTGCTTTGCCAACAAAGGTCCGTCTAGTCAAAGCTATGGTTTTTCCAGTAGTCATGTATGGATGTGAGAATTGGACTATAACGAAAGTTGAGCACCAAAGCATTGATGCTTTTGAACTGTGGTGTTGGAGAAGACTATTGAGAGTCCCTTTGACTGCAAGGAGATCCAACCAGTCAATCCTAAATGAAATAAGTCCTGAATATTCATTGAAATGACTGATGCTGAGGCTGACACTCCAATACTTTGGTCACCTAATGCAAAGAGCTGACTCATTTGAAAAGCCCCTGATGCTGGGAAAGATTGAGGGCAGAAGGAGAAGGGGATGACAGAGGATGAGATGGTTGGATAGCATCCCTGACTCAGTGGACATGAGTTTGGGTAGGCTCCGAGAGTTGGTGTTGGACAGGCAGTCCTGGCATGCTGCAGTTCATGGGGTCACAGAGAGTCAGACATGGCTGATTGATTGAACTGAACTGACTGCAATCTAGTAATTTTCTTTTATTAATTGTGTTTTCCAAGTGTTTGTTGCTTCAGTTCAGGAAATATTTTGTTTTCCATTTTACATAATATACATAATCTTCCCAATGCATCATTCATTCTTTTCAGTCTATGTTGTGCAAGTGAAAAAATATGTACCGTTGTGTAATCATCATAATTAATAAACAAAACATTTCATCACAGTAAATATTTCCTCATTCACCTTTGGAGTCACTTCCTCCCTTCACTTCTAGTTTCTGGCAGACAATGATCCATCTCTATAGTTATATTTTCATCTCATTCAGAATGTTTTATAAATAGAGTCACATATTATATATTTTTAAATTTTCCTTCTTGCCTTAATGAAGTATAACTGGTAAATTAAAATATTATATAGAATATATACAATTGATGATTTGATATACACTGTGAAATGATTACAATAAACCTTACTTACCAGAGCTATCATCTCAAATAATCATCATTTTTGTTTTTCTTTTGGTAAGACCCCATAAAATCTACTGTCAGTGAATTTCAAGTATATACTGTCTTCACTTGTTCAGTCATGTCCAACTCTTTGCTATCCTATGGTCTGTAGCCCATCAGGATTCTCTATCCATAGGATTTTCCTTCCAGGCAATAATACTGGAGTGGGTTGCCGTTTCCTACTCCAGGAGATCTTCCTGACCTAAGGATCTGACCGACATCTCAGGTCTCCTGCATGGGCAGATAGATTCCTTTACTTCTGTGCCACTTGGGAAGCACCAAGTATACATTATTATATTATTAAGTATAGCCAATGTGCTATATATTAATCCTAGGTCTTATTCATCTTGTAACTGCAATTTTATAACCTTTCAGAAACATCTTCGCATTTATACCACCCTTCAGCCCTGGCATACTTTCTGCTTCCATCATTTGACTTTTTTAGATTACACATGTGAGATAATACAATAGTTGCCTTTCTGTATCTGGTTTACTTATTTATTTATTTTTATGTCCTCCAGGTTCACTCATACCTCCAAAGATTGAATTTCTTCCTCTTTAATGAGTCAGTAATATTTCATTGTTTCAGTCAGTCAGATCAGTCACTCAGTCAATGTCTCACTCTTTGTGACCCCATGGACTGCAGCACACCAGGCTTCCCTGTTTATCACCAACTCCCAGAGTTTACTCAAACTCATGTCCATTGAGTTAGTGATGCCATCCAACCATCTCATCCTCTGTTGTTTTCTTTTCTTCCCACCTTCAATCTTCATCAGCATCAGGGTTTTTTCAAATGATTCTATTCTTCAGAAAAGTTGGCCAAAGTATTGGAGTTTCAGCTTCAGCATCAGTCCTTCCAATGAATATTATTAGCCATGGATTTACATGTATTCCCCATCCCAGTCCCCCCTCCCACCTCCCTCTCCACCCGATCCCTCTGGGTAGCAATCATTTGATGAAACTGAACAAGTCTAACATCTCTATCTCTTTTTTTTTAGTATAATTTTATTTACTTATTTAATTTTTCTGTACTTGGTCTTCATTGCTGCATGGGCTTTTCTTTTGTGGTGAGTTGGGGCTACTCTCTAGATGAAGTGCTGGCTTCTCTTTGCTGTCACATCTCTTGTTGCAGGACATGGGCTCTAGGGTGTACAGGCTTCAGTAGATGTGGCACACGGGCTCAGTATTTGCAGCTCCCAGTCTCAAAAGCACAGGCTCAGTACTGTGGCACATGGGCTTGGTTGCTCCATGGCATGTGGGATCTTCCAGGCTCAGGGATGGAACCGTGTCTTCTGCATTGGTAGGTGGATTCTTTACCACTGAGCCACCAGGGAAGCCCAGGCTCTTATGAATTTTATGATTATTTTTATATTTCTAGTAAAAATTGCATTGGTATCAATTATACTTCAATTAAATAATTTCAAACAAAAACCCATTGGACTTTTGATAAGGATTGTATTGAGTCTATGATTTGTCTGCTGTGCCCATTTTAACAATATTTTTTCTTCCAATTTATGAACATGTGGTATCTTTCCATTTATTTGCACCTTTTTAATTTCTTTCACTTATGCCATATTTTTTCAGTGTATAAATTGCTTACCTTCTTTGCTAAATTTATTCCTAATAATTTATTCTTTCTGATGCCATTGTAAATGAGATTATTTTTTTTCTTTTGTATAGTTCATTGTTTCTACATGCAATCAAAACTAATTTATGTCAGTTGATTTTTATCCTACAATTTTCTTGAATTTCTTTTATTAGGTGCAGTTTTTTTGGCATTTTCTATATATAATATCATGTCTACCATGCAGTCTTTAAATATGACTTCTTGCTCTTAGTATCATGTATTTGAGGTTTATGTGTATGAATGGAATTATCAATAGTCCATTTATTTGACTGGTA